TGGGATGTGACATGACCCAGTATTCAGTAAGAGGGATAGGTTTAGGGTATACCTTTTCTTCTAGAAAAATGTACCATGCTTAAATATCATATGTGCCCAGGGCCTGGTCTTTTTAAAGGTTGAATAACTGTAAGTCTTTTATATATATAGGTATACATGGCTTTGTCGTGAATGCACGAAAATACTTGGGGAACGTCAGTAAGTTAATGCAGCTTTGTGTTCTGACTCATTACGAATCTCCGCAGATTCCAGACTGAAGTCAACTATGACACGCTGGAAGTCCGAGATGGGCCAGCCAGCTCGTCCCCGCTGATCGGAGAATACCATGGCACGCAGGCCCCCCGGTTTCTGATCAGCACTGGCCATTTCATGTATCTCCTCTTCACCACGGACAACAGCCGCTCCAGCGTCGGCTTCCTCATTCACTACGAGAGTAAGTCAGAGGGTCCACTTGCCATCTGCCCCCCAGGCATGCGCTCTGGTTCCCTAGCACAGGTGACAGCCCTTGCTGCCTCTGTCCACCCTGCACTGCATGCCCTGAAGCACCTTCTCTTATTGATAAGAGAGCAACCTGGGGGCTTTCACTTTAAAACTAAAAAAATAATAAAATACTCATTGATGGATTATAAAATTAAATAAGTAATTAAATGTGTTTACTACATGTTGTAATCATAAATTACTACTATTAGAAATATAGCTCCTGACCAAAGGAGTTACCACTAAAATTGTATCTCTTAAACAACAGCTGGGAGGTTCTTTGCTGGAAGAACATGGGTAGGCTGTTGTGTGAACATGTTTCAGTGGGGAAAGAACATGGAACCAAGAGTGGAGAAGGAGTTAAAATCCAGCAGAACCTCAGTAATGACACCTAACTGTTGCTGTTTACAAGCACTGCAAGAGTCCAGAAAGATTGGTAGAAGTAATTACAATGGTTGCTGAAATGTGACAGTGCAGGATATCTTGCCCAACTTGAAGTGCTCCTTCCCATTTTTGTTTTCATAAATACAAATTTGAGTCATAGTTTTAGTTTCTGAGATTTGGAGATCAGGTCATGCTAGTATATTCTAGTGATCCTTACGAAACTGGACTTGTGGAAGGCAGCCGGGGGGTTCACCCTGGGAATGCATTTTTAACGCCAGTCACTTGAAAAAACAAACCCAACGGTTAATTTCCTCTGTTTGAAAATATGTCCCTTTCTGAGTAGAAGGAAAAAGATGGATAAATGCAGAACACTGAATCTGAGGGAATAAAAACCTCTATTTTTCAAGGTTTTTATGGTTGCTGTTTTTCACAGTCTTATCCCAAAATAAACAAAATTAAGTTTCAGTGCTATTATACAAATATATAGTTACATATATACCCACACATATAATTTTACAAATGATCGTGAGTGGGGTCATATCTAACATGTGGGATGTTTATTCATTATTGTTTTCTTTTTCTTGCCTTCCTGTCCCCACATCACCCCCTGCTCCTCATGTTAACCTCTGTGCAAACTCCACCCAGCAGCTTAGATTAAGAACCTGTTATGTATGTTTCTCCGATTCTCATGCTCACGTATGGACGCACATGCAAATATTTACATGCATATACACATATACAAGTCTACGTGGAGTTCTTAATAAAAAAAATGACTCTCTCTGATAGGAAGAAAATCGACTGTTCATGATTTAATGATTAATTTGAAATTTAAATTGGTTGGTTTCACTTCATAATCATGCAACCTTTCTTTCAAAGTAAGGTCTTTTTTAAACATGAAGTACAATTTAAGAACCAGAAAGTCTCCTATTTCATTCCTTTTGAATGTCCCTTTGAGTCGTTGCTTTCTTGGGAGTGAAGATATGTGCACATAACAACCATCCAGGTTTGTAAAACTCCTCAGTGCTGTATCGCCCCACCGCACCCCTTTTCGTAAGTCTGGAGCTACATGGCCTTTGAGCACACGCTTGGATGAAGCTTACGAGAATGGTGCCTTATTTAGGCACTGAATAAAACTAGAACAGAGTTTCTCATTCTTCTCTTTTCTCTCCCTTGTTTGTGTAGCCATACATCATTCTGCCCATTTTCTCCAGTACCCTGTGAAGAAATTATATCCTAAAGCCTATATGCAGGTAGTAGAAAGTGATGGCATCTGCCCACCTAACTTGTGTAAATAAACAGGTTATTCCTACCGATTCTTTCTAGAATTCAGAGAATGATCGAAAGTCAGGTCACGAGTTCCTCTTCCGCTTGCCACCCTTACTCATAGTCGATAATATGCCGGTAATTCTAGCAGTAATTTTTAGGATCTTCAAAGAGTGACTGCATGGAGATAGGAGATGTGGGTCTCCTGTGCTTGACAACAGAGCTGAGCCCTGGTAAGCATGCTTCCACAGGCTGGAGTGACCTCTCAGAGAGCAGTGCTGTTTGCCTTTCCTCCGTCAGGGTGTCCCTAACAGAAGATGAAAACAATCACCAAGCTGGTAGCATTTGCAGCGGAGAGATACTTGTGTGAGTGACAGACCTTTCTGATCCCTTGGGGTCCAGAATCCCTCCTCCTCCTACTTGACAGGAAGAGCTGGGAGCCAGGAGTGTCATCACAGAAGAGGACAGAACTCTCTGGGGGAGAAGGTGGGGAAGGTCCCTGCGGCATCCACCACCCAGTGCTCTTAGCAGGGACACTGGTCTAAACGTTCATGCTGGCTTTTGCCCTGTGAACTCCCCGTGGTCCTTCCAGAAGGCCCCACACGTTTTTGTGAATTCCTCCAAATGAAAGTATCCAACGTATATTGGGAGAATACTGCCCGGAAGGACCACACCGAAGCGTGACCTGTGATCACCTCAATTTATTTATCAGCCGCTCTGTACTTGAGGAGAAACAAGGAGACGAGGAAAAGCGGATGAGCAGGATGTGGGATTTTTATACGGAAATGAGTCAGGAAAGGTCTGGGCTCTGTAACCCCGCGGTTGCAGGCTGGCATCGTACAAAACCGTTACCTGCAGGCCTTAAAACTGAGCAGAAGCCGCAACGCGAGCTCAGATGTCCCGTGCTGCCGCTGCTGTGGTTGGACGGAGGCCCAAGGGCTTTGAGGAAGCCCGTAGCTGGCCCAGGTGGCCATCCTGGTTCAGAAGGCGTGCTGAAGGGGCAGCTCTTGTCATACACAACGGTGCATCAGGGCTTGCCCGGGATTCCTAGTACACTGCAGGCTCCTACGTTCACATTCCAGACATTGTAATTTCACCATGCCTGTGGTGCCCACCAGAATTCTGGATTTCTCTTACCGCCTCGAGGTGGCACGTAGGTGACAGCCGGTGCCTGAGTCAGCCCAGGCAGGCCCTGACAAGGGCAGGACTGACACATGGATTTCCAGGTAGAGGTAGGGCAGGTGGGCAGGGAGGCCACGCAGGAGCCCCCAGAGTCACGGAAGAAACAAGAACAGAGAGAGGAGCAGAGAGAGAGACAGGAAGAAGAGAAAAACGTAAAAGAAGTCACGTGTTACCAACCCCTTTAACATTGTGACCAATTCTAGTACTCTTTGAAGAAAGACGTCCAGAAGCCAGTGTGGAAGCAGTAGAAAATAATGACCCTTGCTTATCCGACACGTTAAAAAAAAAAACGGGTTGCCTGTGGCCCAAGAATGATTTATGTCAAATTCTTTATGCCCTTTAAACATAATAATAGAGCTCATCTCCCTTTCGTCTTTTGTGGTAAACATTTGACACTATAAGCCTTCCTTGCTTTAAAAAATTATTGACGATCCCGCTCCATGCCCAAATGGGCGTGTGAAGATCTACTTTACAGGCAGAAGGCACTGCAGAAACAAGGCTGGCTTATTGTCGCACAGGCGCCATAAGCTAATGTGCGCTGCCACAGGCAGCGTTAATGTCAGCACTTGTGAATTGTGAGGCGGATGGGCGAAGCCTTTCTTTCCAAGGTTTTCCTACGAGCAGAGCCAGAAGGGTCGTCTGTTCTGTGTGCGGACTCTTATGAATCATCCATTTAATTTTTTTTAATTTGTTTAATTTTTATTTTTCAAAATTTATTTATTTGTGAGAAAGAGACAGAGCGTGAGCAGGGCAGGGGCAGAGAGAGAGAGAGAATCCGAAGCAGGCTCCAGGCTCTGAGCTGTCAGCACAGAGCCCCCGACGCGGGGCTTGAACTCGTGAACTGTGAGATCGTGACCTGAGCCAAAGTCAGTTACTTAACCCACTGAGCCACCCGGGCTCCCCGGAATCATCCATTTTATAAACACAGCGTCCAGTTACAGTCTGTCCTTTTATTAACTTTATTCTTCATGAGGAATGGGACACAGTTTGTATAATAGTCGTTGTATTATTCCCCCAGAATAATCATTTGCTGGCTCTGTTTGTTGTAGAGCTTTGAACCACCACTGTAAAGTAGCCATGATTTTATAGGCAACTGGACAGCTAGTTGGTATCTCAAGCATATGGAGGTTTCCATTCAATTTTAGAGCGTTGTTTTTTTGGAAATGCTTTCAAAAGTGTCCTTTAAAATATTCCAGAAAAGCAAGGTTCATTGCATGTAAATGTATCTGTCCTGCTTTGCTGCTAATATACTGTGCAATTTTTAAAAATTGGGGTGCCTGGGTGGCTCAGGCGGTTGAGCATCCGACTTGGGCTCAGATCATGATCTCATTATTCATAGGTTCGGGTCCCATGTCAGGCTCTCCGCTGTCAGTGTAGAGCCTGCTTCAGATTCCGTGTCTCCCTCTCTCTACCCCTCCCATGCTCGTGCTCTCCCTCTCAAAAGTAAACATTAAGAAAAATTACAAAAGGCAAAGAAGAATGTTTTCTGGTGTGTGTGTGTGTGTGTGTGTGTGTGCGTGTGCGCACATGCATGTGTGCATATTAGTTTCTGAGATTTAATGACTTTTTTGTTTTTTAATTTTTTTATGTTTATTTATTTATTTTGTGAGAGAGAGAGACAGACAGAGAGAGAGAGAGAGAGAGAGAGAGTGAGTGGAGTAGGGGCAGAGAGAGAGGAGAGAAAATCCCAAGCAGGCTCCACATTGTCAGGGCAGAGCCAGACTTGGGGCTCGAACCCACCAACTGTGAGATCATGACCTGAGCCGAGATCAAGAGTCTGACACTCAACTGACTGCACCCCTTTTTAAAATTTTTATAAGTTTATTTATTTATTTTGAGAGAGAGAGAGAGAGAGGGAGCAAGCACAAGTGGGGTAGGGGCAGAGAGAGAGAGAGGGAAAGAGTTAATGACCTTTCTTAAGATCAGAAAGGAAAACTAGTCAAAATGTAATGGGTATGGATGCCGTGCAGTTGGAAACTTGGACCCGTGGGCACGGGCGCACCCCCACGGTGGGAGGGACGAAGGCAGGCGAGGGCTTAGGCGTGAACCCTGGTGAATAATTTAACATAACCAATTTACTTAATTTCTTGGCTTATTTCCTCATCTGTCAAATGGGATTGTGACTGCTGTTTCCAACCCTTTCGAAGGCTGTGGAAAGAGCCTTGGGAGGTAAAAGGTACTCAGAATATGCATCCCTTTCCTTTGACTGGAACTTGTAGAAAAACAGTTAAGCAGAACTTTCCTTGTGTCAAGTGTACATTAATATAATGTGCACGTGGGCATCGTCAAAGCCATTCGCTTCAGTCATTCACTGGTAGTGAGTTACTGAGTTCTTTGCTTGACGGGCCAAATGATGAGCAGTGTATTTATATCCCTGCGTCAGAAAACGCATCGTCACGTTACATTTTGAGGAAGAAGCAATTGGGACAGAATCGGCACATGCTCAAAGCTTCAACAAAATCCGTTAATGCCACTTTTTCTTTGTATGGCGAGGGCTCATTCGGGAGGGGGAAAATGCTCGAAGCAGTGCTCTGAAGTAGTCTGTGTAGGTTTCCTTCAAAGTCAGTTGGCTGCCCGTCCTCACAGACTGGTTTTAGTTCGCTCTAAAGGGCTTTTCCTACTGAGTCATGTCACCCGCCGTGCACTGCCCTCCATTCTCCCTGCTGCCATCTTGTTGCACAGTTCCTGTTTATGGTGCATTTCAGGCGAGTTGGTCGTCAGATCTGTTACAATTCTAGCACGCAGTTACCCTCCTATGTGGTGTCCCTTCAAAAATATTGTAATGCAAAGCAGTACAATAACCGTACGTTGTGCAACTTAGTATTTCTGTCCATTATTTTGTGAAAATGAGTGAATGAATGAATGATGGAATAAAGTTAGTACTAACCAGCAGTTATGACTTCAACATAGTGTTTATTTTGCAGTTCAGTTTTGTATGTAAAGAATTCTGCATTTATATTTGTATGCTTTGGTTTCCTCTGATGCTTTTCTCTTTGTTCCCTGCAAATTTTATGTGGGAAAAAGTTTGCTTACCATCTATACATTTTATTGTGAATATTATTACTTAATATATTGCCCTCACATCATCTAAAATATTAAATCCTGTTATTTTTAAAGTTCTTTTTTAAGTTACTTTGAGAGAGAGAGAGAACAGGGCAGGGGCAGAGAGAGAGAATGAGAGAGAGATTGAGAGCGAATCCCAAGCAGGCTCCACGCTGTCAGCGCAGAGTCCAAATCAGGGCTTAATCTCACAACTGTGAGATCATGACCTGAGCTGAAACCAAGAGTCAGACACTTGACCACTGAGCCTCCAAGGCACCCTTTTCCTATTAGGTTTATTTGCTGCGGTGCAGCGAGCGTATTGTTTAGTGATCATCGGAAAGCATTTGACAAAATGCAAAAATATAGTTAAATGGTTTGTCAGGGATCTTCCCACTAATCCATTTCTTTGGCAAAGTGTCTTTTGGGGGAATTCTTGTGTTAATCTTGTCCCTGCAAAACCAACAAGCTAGTGTATGTACCCATTGTATATAGGGCGTACTCATGCCATCGCTGCTGTGTTACAAAAGAGGTCGTAAACACGGCCTTAGAACATGAGTGTACGTGGGGGGATTTAGAAACGGAGGGGCAGAGCAGATGACGGCTGTGGGGCACATGATGCCGCCCGGCTTTCGGCAGAGCCGTGCCCCACACAGGAATGGAAGGATGTCATGACAGTTGGCACCTATTGTTTATGGTAGTAGGCACACAGTGGTTTTCAGGAGATTAGTTAGAATATTTAAGAAAAAAATTCTTGGGAAAAATAGTGCCATATATATGTCTTTTCACTTAGCCTCTTCTTCTGTTCATTGTTTTATTTTTTCCTTTGGAAATCTTAACTATGATGGTCTTCCAGTTTTTACCCAGTGTAACCAAACTCTGGGGTTAAGCACACAGATTTGCAAAGGGCAAAACCTGCTTATTTTGCCAACTCTGAAACCAACTGCAAGTTCAGAGTTCCCAAAATGACCCTCCGTTCTGATAACTTGATAGAAGGACTTGACATACGTTGAAAGCTGTTGTGCCCACAGTCACATGCATTACAGAAAGGATCCAGGTTAGGCAGAGGAAGACACAAAGGGTGTCATCCTCTCCCCATGGGGCCATGAATGGTGTCACCTCCTAGCCACACTGTGGGGCAATACGCACAGTCCTGCCAACCTGGGAAGCTCACTGGGGTCTTTGTGTCCAGAGATCTGATTGGTGTTTCATTAGAGAAGCATCATGCATTGAATCATTGCCCTCGTGGTTCAACTCAATCTCCAGCTGCCCTTTCCTTGTCAGCTAGACTGAAATCCTTTTGGTCCAGGGGCACAGCATGGACAACAAAACACTCCTAGCACTCAAGGAGTTCCAAGGGTCGGGGCGCCTGTGTGGCTCAGTCAATTAAGCGTCCACTTCTTGATTTCAGCTCAGGTCATGATCTCATGTTTTGTGGGATTGAGCCCGTGTTTAGCTCTGCACTGACAGTGCAGAGTCTGCTTGGGATTCTCTCTCTCTCTCAATCTCTCTCTCTCTTTCTCTTTCTCTCTCTCTCTCTCAAAATAAATAAATAAACTTAAAGAAATTCCAAGGGTTTACAGGTTACCTCTTAGGAGCCAGACCTCTCTTAGAAACCACATTTCTAACTACCCATCTTTCAGTAGTGGCTCAGCTTTCTTGCTTGCAATCTGGTACCTATTGAATCACATTTGGCTATATACTAATGAAGAAATATTATCACTCGTTATTTATTTTAAAAACTCACTCCTTACTTGTATGTCATGTATTTGACTTAATGAGTGAGGGTGTAAGGTGTAAGGTACATCACTCAAATTTATGCAGTGACTGGAAATGTTATTCCAGAGATCATTTTGGGGGGACTGAGCATCATCAGTGATGATTTAAGATTTTTAATTCATGGTCTAAGTCGTCACTGTAATGCTCCAAACCTAACTTAGAGAGTTGTGTATAAGCAGTGGCAGAGTCTTTCTTATGTCTTTGAATTCGTAACCATCACACTGTCATCTTCTTCCCCTGCTCCCGTTTTCCTTATCTTTTCAAATGTATATGCTAAAAATAAAGAGAAATCTGAGAGACAGAGCAAAGAAACTCTTGTAATGACATGATCATAATCACTTGACTTTATATAGCACTTTACTTTTTAGCGCCTTTTAGCATAGGCTAATTGTAGCCATCTCCAAAGTGGCTGACTGACGTGCAAATGTGAAAAATGCACGGATGTATGGAATGCAGTTTTAGAGAATCAGATCCAGTGAGGTCTTAGTTTGCAGTATGTGTGTATGGACTTGGGCACATGTGTGCGTGTCTACGAAAGTTGAAGGATGACTGCCCAACTCTAACTAGAACATAAAATACAGTAAGGGGAAGGGGGAGGCTAGAGATAGAAGACAGGCTTCATTTAACAGTTCACTGGTTTTCCAACGAAGTGAAGTAAACTTCAGACATCAAGGGATTATTCAGGTTTGTAGACTTACAGGTCATCTGATAAATAGTTAACAATATCTGTCTCTACAGAAAAACAGGATCAGATACGCAAAAGTGTATTGGTTGTTTACATTAATGGATGGTTGGATTCACTTGAATAATTTTCCAGGTCTGATGATGTCTGGGGATATTTTATATGTACGACTGCACACATATTTTTTCTGTAAGCCAGCAGAGTTCCGTGGTTAATGTATTTTTTTCTGCGCACGCAGGTGTGACTCTGGACTCGGACTCTTGCCTTGACCCAGGAATCCCTGTGAATGGGCATCGGCACGGCAGTCATTTTGGCATCAGGTCTACGGTGACTTTCAGCTGTGACCCGGGGTACACACTGAGCGATGATGAGCCCCTGGTCTGCGAGAGGAATCATCAGTGGAACCACGCCCTGCCCAGCTGTGACGGTAGGTGGAGCTCAAGGGAGCCGTAAACCCTACAGAAATGTGGATGCTGTCGATATCTCAGTTGTTTGGGTGGAATGTGTCGTATTGTACAGGGCGGTATGATACGAAAAGTGTACACCTTAGAAACAATTCCGTTTAATACTTGAAGTTTATCTAGCACTTTTTTTTTTCTATGAGGTAAGGCGTCTGTCTAGAAATGAAAAATAAAAAAAAAAAATTATGGACCGGTCTTCAACTTTATCAGCAGACACGGAAACTTAACAGAGCTCAGTTATGCACACACTCTTACACGAGGCATTTGTTGAAGACAGCGCGAAGGCAGGCTAGTGAGCGCGTGTGCTCCACATCATCAGGCCCAGTCTTCCTCCGAACCAAGTCCAAGCATTGAGCCACCACCCTGAGGTCTACACAGCTCCTCTAAGCTCTCAGCACTCTCCCCGGACGACCCACCAGGAAGCACCTTCCCAGAAGACCCCCAAGTGGTTTCCGGGGATAGCCACTCCCCCTTCCCTGCATGTATCCGCCCTTGGAAGTCTCCAAACAAATACCTTGAGATGGCTCCATGCAGGGTATATGCAAATACGGTACTTGTGGCCATTCGCAAAGACAGTAAGGGATTTGTCCTTTGGTCATGAATAGAACAACATTATCACATTATCTGTATAAAAAAGAATATATTTTTCCCATTCACAACAGTTTTTCACCAATGTTGTAATGTGGTTGGTTGTATTTGTGGCTTAGAGAGAACCATAACAGAAATGAATATAGCTATAGAAAATACCACACTTCATAACAAACTATTATAAAAAGTTTCATGGAAGGTGAGAACAGAATAACTTTCTTAGTACCAGGAATGTTATTTCCTATTATCCAGAAGATCCTCACACATGCAGTAATATAAGAAAACGGCATAAATTATAAATATTACAAAGAACAGACTGTCAAGTTTGGGCAGTAAGTGCTAATAGATGACCATGTTCAGGATAAACATAGATCTGTGGATTTCCACAGAGGATACAGTTAGTAGAAGTATAATATCTATATACTCTAAAACCTTCAGGAGTATATTTAACAGGAAACATGGAGGCTTACCTTAAAATAATTTAGAAGTTTACAGTAGAATACAAAAAGAATATCCTCATACAGGGAAATACCTAATACATTTCTGGACGGTAGGGATGAAATTTAAATATACAGATTTTTTACAAATAAAGTTTTATGTTCAATACAATCTAATTAAAATGAATTTGGATTTTTAATAGAAATTTATAAATGTTATAAATGAATCTGGAAGAGTAAAGCCTCTAAATAGGCATATATTTTTTTTAAAAATGATAAAGAAGGACTCTATCTGGTATCGAAGTATACCAAAAATAGATGAAAATATGAAACCAGTACGGAAATACACAAATAGATTATATGCCTGTATAAGAACTTAATTTGCTAAAATTATTCCAAATCCATGAGGAGGGATGACATTTCATAAATGATGTTGTTCAAATTGTAAATCCAGACACAGTAAATGGAAAACATTGACAGATTTCACTACATACAAATTAAAATTTCTATTGAAAAAAAAGTTAAAGGAAAAGGTCAGACTACAGAAAATAATTGGTCTGTCCATGTAATGTGATTCGAGATACTTTTATCACCCAAACGGATGGAAGAAAAACAGTGACATACACAAAACAACAGGTCCACGAGGAAAACACATACATAGGCTTTTCAGAGAAGGAGACAGAACACTTCAAAATATGTCCACTCTGACACGGACTCAGGAAAATGCAAAAAAAAATATTTTTTTTTCTACCCTGTGGATTTGCAAAAAAGAAAGGTCAAATTACTCTCCATCATCATGGGATTAGGGAGATGCGCGTTCATTCTGTCCTGTTGCTAGGAAACTGAAATGATACCCCCTTTCTGGAGAAAAGAGCAAGTCTCAGGACAATGCATGTTGTGTACGTGAACATATCCATGCATGTACTTACAGACACATTTACGGTATATACATAGAAACTGGCTGAAAATAGACATTCTAGAACGGTAACCCTAATGCTCTCATTTTGGGAGGTTGGCAAGCTGTAGGGAGAGGGAGAGAGTCTTTCAGTTTTTATCTCCACATTTTTTTGGTGCTATATGAATTTGTATTAGGTCTTATTTTTGCAATTGGAACCCTAATGATGAAGAAAATAAATAAAATTTACCCATGTAATTACTAAACAGTGTCAGAGGATGCTAGCTACTGGACTAATAATTTTTTTTAATCTGAGGTATCATAAATAGTATGCAAAAGTATTTACTATATTTATAGTAGGATTTTGTATTGGCAAGAATTATAACAAGGGCACAAAGTATGATAAAGGTCTCATACCTAAAATACTTAGTTGTTACTCATGCATAACTAAGCATCAATCAAAATATTTATTAAACCATTTAATCCAAAATCTGCAGTAAGCAAATCATAGAAGTAATTTTATTGGAAGAGTTATTTACCTGATATGCAAACACGTGGCTTTATTGGGAGCCACTGTGCAAATTTAATAATAATTGTTATTTCTTTTTATTTTTTTGACCAGAGCTGAATGGGACTTAGGAAGGGAGCACATAGAAGTTGCTCTCTTTTTTCCATTTTCCTTCGGGATGAATGAGTTGAGCAACTGCCAACGCGCGGCCTCAAGTTGTAACTGCAGACTTTTCAGGCAGTGCGGGGAAGATGGAAAAGTTGAGGTCGCTGTGCTGTAAACACACAATCAGTTGGGGCGCCTGGGTGGCTCAGTCGGTTGAGCGTCCGACTTCGGCTCAGGTCATGATCTCGTGGTCTGTGAGTTCTAGCCCCGCGTTGGGCTCTGTGCTGACAGATCAGAACCTGGAGACTGCTTTAGATTCTGTGTCTCCCTCTCTCTGACCCTCCCCCGTTCATGCTCTGTCTCTCCCTGTCTCAAAAATAAATAAACGTTAAAAAAAAATTTTT